AAAGTTCCTCATATTTTATACAAGAATTCAATAATAAATGCTACTTCACCTCACATCTAAATGCACCATCTATCAACAAATTTACAACATCGAAGCAATATTGATTGGGGGGGGGCACCTTCGTCGCCAGACAATGGTCCTTCCGACCTCCGTCACCCGCCAACTAAATCCTTCCAGCATCCCTCGTCAAACAAAGGTTTTTCCGTCCTCCGTCACTCGCCGACTATGGTCGCTCCGACCAAACGAACATGTCAAAACTGATTCTTACAATTCCCACCATGACAATAATTCTATATGAGGTACATTTGCTACATTAAGTCAACCCTGCTTCCTCCAAAATTTCTCAATCCCCAAAGGAGTGGTTCCCCCCACTTGTGTCAATTATCCCTTCTCCGCTCGAACCCAAACCTTTCATCACAAGCTCATGTTCTCCCTTCAAATTCAGCAACCATTCCATCATATTCAACCCCTCTCCTTTCAAGTTCGACACCTCTTCGGTCATAATAAAGTCCCCGCCATTCAAATTGAGCCCTCCTTTGATCATAATTACCCATTTCCCTTTCAAATTCAACACCCTTCCACTCATGCCCAACCCCCTCACGCCTACCCGACTCCCTCCCTAGGAATAGGCCCTAAAGGGAAACTTTTTTTTTGTTCCCTTCAAAATCTCCACCACTTGATCTTCCGTTCGTCTGATCGATTTAAGATTTTCCTTACTTCCTTGGTGGTCGGCGCCTTCCCTCACCTCCGACGGCAACATTTTAGTTTGGCCCTCAAGCAAGTTCTTTAACGTCTCCCCCAGTATTGAAAATTTTAAATCGAACTTATCATGATCATGGATGGTTGAAATATGTTTTTATAAATCTGAAACTCGAGTTTGGAGATTTGACATTTCAGAATTCATTTATCTGATCCCCCCTTCCAATAGTTCTACTTTTCTTCCCGCCATAAGTCCCTGTATCTTTGTTAGGCCTGAAAATTCGGATTTCCACAACAAAAACAGCTGTTCGAAGCAGACAAACTGCTGCAGGAATCAGCCCAAACAACTCCAAAAAAGCCCGGGACACTGCTTAGGCTCAAAAATTCGGATTTCCACCATAAAAACAACAAAAACAGCAGTTCGATGGAGAAAAACTGCTGAAGGAATCAGCCGAAACAACCCCGAACAACACTCTGAAACCAATTTGATAGAAAACACTTGAAGATTTCAAGTAAATTCTATCAATTTCAGAAAAAAAAAAAAAAGAAAAAAAAAAAACAAGAACACTTTTCCAAACTCCAATGAAAAAAAAACTGTAGTTTTTATTGCAATAATAAAAGATACAGAAGGAAAATACCAAGATATAGTCGGTCCTCAATTCGAGAGGATATATCTCTGCCAAAAAACCTAAGAGAGAAATTTCAGACAAATTCAAGATGCCATAACCCTAGGAACACAAACTATTTAATGCAATAATAAAAGACACAGAAGGAAAATACCAAAATATAGTCGATCCTCAATTCGAGAGGATATATCACTGCCAAAAAACCTAAGAGAGAAATTTCAGACAAATTCAAGATGCCATAACTCTAGGAACACAAACTATTTAATGCTTACAATCCAAATTGAAATCTCTAAACGGTCCCTACATTCAAATTTCCCTCCTAAACAACACTAATGGAACTTGCGGCTTGAACGACAAGAGCGGGAGGCGGACATTCTCCGCCTCTGCTCTCCCGCGTGCCGGTCCTGTATGTACCGATCTAAAAAATTCCTCCTTATTCTCTGTATAATTCTCCATTAAACTTCTCAATAAATGTATAGATTCCATAGTAGACTGTTACGCCGGCCCAGAAGGGGCCAGCTGGACCGGTCCAACCGGGACCGGTCCAGGTCTACTCGCGGCGAAACCGCACGAAGCAGGCGGAACCGAGCGCAATCAGCGAAGCCGACGGGGGCCAGGGAGGATTTTTGGGAGGGAAATTTTGAATGCGAGGGGCTGTTTAGACATTTTGTAAAACTCCTTTAGGGTTAATTAGGAGGTTAGGAGAAGGAGGGGGGTTTATGTTGCATTTGAATGAGTTTTGAGATCTAGGGTTTGGTGTTCTTGGACTCTTGGCTTTGCCGGAGATCGTAGGAGAGTTTTTCCTTCCTCTCGAATTGAAGGAAAGTTGTATCTTGCAAGTGCTTTTCCTTTCTTATTGGAATACAAGTGTTTGCCTTGATTTTCTACAAGTTTCTTCTCGGATTTCCACTGTTTTTGCTGTTTTTCCGCTGTAAACAGCAATTTTGCTCTTCTTTTCGTACTAATCTTGGTTAGGTTTGCTTGCGAACTCAAGTATTACCTTAGGGTTACTTGCGAACTCAAGTATTTCCTATCATAGACCTACCCCGCATGAATCCAATTTGACTTTGAGAAACATTAATCACTAATATCACGCTGCAACCTATGCTCAAAAACTCTCTCCCATAGTTTTAAAGTATGACACATTAACTTAGTTCTCTATAACTCGCATAATCTTGTGCATCACCTTTATTGTTAGAAATAGGAATCAACACACTCAATCACCTCTCATCTGGCATCTTTTTAATCGTCAACATAATATTAAAAAGTTTAGTAAATCAAGAAATTCCTTCATCTCCTAAGAATTTCCACACCTCTATTAGAATATCATCAGGTCCAACAGCTTTTCCACACTTCCTTCTCTTTAAAGCCCCTCTAACTTCAATAATATGATACGTCCTAGGGTTTCACAATTTCGGTTTTGTCCTAATTTCCCTCAAAAGAGAGGAATTTCTCCACCAAAAATCAAGAGAAACAATCACAAGAGAGTTGGGAAGAAAGACAAGAACCTTTGCATTAGAAAACCAAGAGAAAACAAGATAAGTTTGTCCACTTCGAGAAGGACAAGATCTCCCACAAGAGAACCCTAGAAAAGAACAAGAAGAAGACTAGGAGAAGAAAACTAGAAAGAGACTTCACTTTTCATAATCCCCAAAACTAAACCCTAATGGCCCTCTTCATACCATCACAAAATTCCTCCCATCCCCAAATTACCCCCACTTAAGTGGGTGGGTCCCGTTGGTCCAGCCGGTCCGCCCGCCCCCCTCTCTTCCGCCTGTAGACCCGCACGGGTCCAGGCTGGACCGGGTGAACTGGTCCATCATAATACTAATATGCCGATAAAACAAAAACTTTCTTTTCATTTAGGTTGCTAAGGTCACTAAATCGTATTGTCACAATCTTTATTTAAAAGTATAACACTATATCTCACCCACCTTCGTTAAATATCCTTTTCTAATAAAAACACTTTTTAATCTTCATCCTCCACGTGAACTAATGAAGACGAAGAAGAATAAAAAAGGCTCAGATGATGAAAAATGAATCCATGACAAACAAAAAGTAGAAAAAAGAATCCATGAAATACAAGAAGTAGAGAAGCTTTGAAATGCTTGAAATCCTCTGTAATGTCAGCGGTGGTTTCCTGAGAAACTTCAGGCCATCCAGAATGTCATACCATAGGAAACTTAGAGATATTAAACCGAAATTCTAAAAACATCATCATCATCATCGCCCTCTCAACATTTTACTCGAACAAATAACCACAAAACACTACTACATGTTATATTTATGGTACAAATGTTTGCATCTCCCTCTCAATGTCAAATATATGGTAATTCTGGGTCGTCAAGGAGAGTTTTAAAATTTAAGTTCCGGGGCAAATTTTTAAAAGGCAGATTGGGTTTTAAATAAGATACTACTCAGATATGTCCCCTCATTTTATGAGGACTTTATGATCTGAGTTCAGATTTCCTATAGGCGCAAGTCCCTATAGTTAATTACCCCTCCCGATAACGAAAGACAATTTCGATTAGCTAGTCTTCAAACAAATACATAGTATCCAACGTATAGTAGCAGCATGATTTGGTATTAAGTTAAATGTTGCAAAGATGTAGAAGTAAAAGATCAAGCTATTAATAAAAAAGAGAGAATGTGAGGGAGCGTATTATTGTCAACAAATACATTAAGCATCTTCTGACATTGCATTAAACATAGAACTTCTAAACTATCACAAACTACTTTCCACCGATAAGAACTGAATTTATAGAATACCTTCATAGAAATTATTAAGAAAACAAGAGGATCAACAATTCCTTGATACCAACAAAAACAAGAATCACAATCAAGTCACGTGAAAGACACTATATCTCTCTTAATCAAACTATAAATTTCAAATATATGCTAATTTGCCTTCTCTATATCGTTTTCACTCCCTCCATCTCAAAATGCTGCCTTTTTTTTCCCATATGCAGCTCCAATCACTATAAGAGAAGAGAGAGGATATGCATTAACTTCAACCAAGTAGCAACTTTATAAGCAGACATAATAATACATGTGTTTTAACTTTTCCATCTCTCACTGTTTTAACTACTCCGCTATCCCAAGGATGTTCAGCTTTAAGGTCAGCGTATGATAAGAAATACCCTTTCTCAAGCGGTCATTAGCAAATATATAAAATAGGAAACAACCCGAAATTAAATAGACCATTATTTTTGCTCGATAAAAGAGAATGTCATAAAACCATAAAAATCGACAAGGTACTGCAAAGTAAAAAAGCAAACATGAGAATATTTTGGTATAAAACAACAAACATCAGAAGATTTTGGTATAAAATCAGCTCACAAACTATCCCATCCAAGCTGCCAAAACAAAAAATTCAGAAAAATTGGGTACACAGTTATAAAATAGACAAGCTACTGCAAAGGAAAAAAGCAAGCATGAGAAGATTTTGGTATAAAACAACAAAATTCAAACTAAAAAAAAACAGATTTCTAAGACCTTTAATTGAAAATATAGATGTGAGAAAATATACTAGAAATGGAACGAAGTTTTACTCCTTGAATTTGTCAGAAATTATAACAAGGTATCTGTATAATAACAGAGAATAATGATAAATTTTCCAATTGATTCGAATGAGAAAATTTATAAAGCAAGGACTAAAGATATGAGATTTAGAAATCAGATAAAAAATAACTTTCATAAACCGCATTGTTGCTCTTCATAAACTAAATTGCTACATCTAACTTTACAAATATGCTTTATGTCTGTAAACAGCATTTTGCTTTGCGAGATAAGTTAAAGATCTAAACACAATTTTTGCTCATTTGACAACACTTAAGTAGCTCTAAATCCACTCATTTACACCCCTAGTGCTGAGGCAGGCAATCATTCACTATGGCTCAAGAGACCATCATCATCATAAGCAGCATCACCATAACAATCACCTCTGCAAATGAAGTTTTCATTGGGATCACTCCAGAGAAACAAATCAAATAGTTCCACACCATTCAGATAAGGATGTTGTTGATATCATCAAGCTCATCACTATCTTGACAAACAGTTTTCATCAATCATTAAAATATAATCATTGAAAATAAATATTTAGCAGCAACAAATGCCTCCAGATCCTACTGTTGCAAAGAATCCAAGAAAAGCTTAGAACATGCAGCTAAAAAACTAAATAGAAGTAGGTTCTCAAGTTCTCATAGCAGCAGCAACATTGGAAAAAGAAGCAGTACTATAGGAAGTTTTTTATAGCACTACCAGTACGTTGGTAGAGGAGTTCCATTCCATCCTTAAAACCCCATTGCTAGAGTAGAGGAAGAATCAACCAAATTACCAACAATAATTGTCACTGCCTCTCCAAAACGAAATCCAGCATCTAGTAGCCAGAGAAACATAGCAAAGCTAAGTAGCAATAATTGATAATGGATATAATGTAACAGTAACAGCACCAGAAGTTTGAGGGGATTCTATTAGTGATTAGATTATTAGGGAGCTAGGCACCAGAACTGAATGAACTATGATTCTCGACTCTTGAGCAAGAATAAATAGTAGAAGAAGGACAATGAATCCATGACATAAGACAAGTAGAGAAGCTTTTCTACACTTTTAACTCCCAACCTAATGGAAGATGTACTTGAAATAGAAGCTCCAGCCAATCCAGACATGCCATATCATAATAAACATAGTGATGGGGACATCAGATCAGCGTGGAAGGTTTATCAGTGACGTGGCCGCCGATCTATGGCCACGATCGAGTCCTTGTATTTCTGAGTCATGATTGTATTTTATTTTATTTATGCATTTTCTTATTTGCTTAGGTGTCGTTATTATTTCCCTTTGTACCCCTTTCATGGGAGTGGTCGCATGTAAGCCCAAAGGGCTCATTCCCCTCATGTGCATTCGATGGCTAAATTCTAAATCATCACCATTGTTGCCCTCACAACTCACAAATTTTACCATTATATACTCTCTCTCTCTATCTATCTATCTTTATATATATATATATAGAGAGAGAGAGAGAGAGAGGGAGAGGGAGAGAGTTATTGTCAACAAATTAATTAGCAATCTACTGACACTGCATTAAACAATGAACTTGAGAACAATCACAAACTACTTCCCCCTGATATGAATTGAATTTACAGAATACCTTCATAGAAATTGTAATGAAAACATTCGGATCCAACAACAGTTCCTTGTTACCAACAAAAATATGAATCAAAATCCGGTCCTGTAAAAGACACTTCATCACTCTTAATCTCCCTCTCAATGTCAAATATATGGTGATTTATCCTCCTCTTCTATCTCTCTAATCTCTAAATGCCGCTTTACTTTTCCACATATACAACTCCATTCAATATTAGAGAAAGAGAGAGGATATGCATTCAAAACAACTAAGTAGCTGACTTTTTAAGCAGATTCAATAGTACAAGATCCATGACATATTAACTTTTCTCTCTCTCACCGTTTTCACTGCTCTGCTCTTCCAAGGCAATCCCTCTTTAAGGTCAGCATAGGCAAAAAAGATACCCTTTCTCAAAGGAACTGAGTCCATATAACATATGAAACATTCACCAATACATAGAAAGTGAAACTGACATGCATGGATATATAAAGAGTAGTAACATTATCTTCCACATCAATACCTAATTGCCTTAAAGACAACATAAAGATAGCACCCTGGCGCCGCTGTAACTGTCAACAAATGCAATAAGCTTCCTTTGAGATGGAGCATGTCACAGTCAACAAAAGCATTTGATTCTTTTGACACTGCATTAAACATATAAGCAGACCGAATAGTACATGATCCATGATTTTTTAACCTATCTATTTCTCACTGTTTTAACTGCTTTGCTCTTCCAAAGCTATCCTGCTTTAAGATCAGCATAGGCTAAGAAATACCTTTCTCAGGGGGTCATTAGTGTAACTGAGTCTGAAAAAGTAATATACTATGCAAGGATTAATAATTTATATAATATATTAGATATTAAGGAGGGCGAAAGATAAATGTATAATTAAGCCAAACAAAGAGATAGGAGTAGTGAGAATTTAGTTCAAGTGAAATGCATTAAGGATGAAGATCAAAAAGTAGTTTTATTAGAAGAAGATATTCAACAAAGCTGGATAAGATATTTTGCTAAACTTTTCAATGAAGATTCTGAGAACACAGTTGATTTTGATGACAATAGCATCTTAAATGAAAAAAAAAAAAAGAATTTTATTTTTATCAATGTATTAATAAAACTAAAGTTGTACGATTTAAAAAAAAAATGAAGTGTGAAAAAGCTGTTTGACCTTATGATATTCCAATAGAGGTGTAGCAATGCTTAGAAGATGAAGATATTTCTTGACTATCTAAACTATTTAATTTTATTTTGAAAACTAAAAAGATGTCAGATGAGTGGAGAAATCATGTGCAATAAATGGCTAAATTCTAAATTATCACCATCGTTGCCCTCACAACTTTCACTCATAGAAAAGAAAATTGCAGCAACTACATGTCTTTGGTATACCTCTAATCATGAAAATGCCATCTAATTAGGGCTTCTTAATTGTATTTCAAGGCGGAGATATGGCAACTGCCAGATTTTCCATCTGAAAATTAAAAATAAAATCCTCCATCCGTGCAATTTAAATTTCCCATTCATATGGACATATTTTGAGAGAATTTTCCAACATGCAAAAAAAATAGAATGGTTCCGGAGGCTCTTAAATTTGTAAGGTAATGCAAAACGAAAGGTAGTGCACTTAGATTGCCAGTAAGATACGCTGAGCATATATATATAACCGAAACCTGCTTCAGAAGAGAAAGAGAGTACAATATGGCTATTGAATTCCAACACTAATAAATAAACAATCAGCTTTCAAAAGCCCTCCAAACTGAAGCATAAATAGGTATATTCACAACATCGGTTGGTTGAGAATTTTCAAGCCATCCATGATGTTCGCCATTGCAAAAAGAGCGTAAGGAAAACTAGGTTCCAGAAGATCAGCCACTACTTGGCAATCACCAGCTCAAGTCTACCATTAAAATCTAATTATAAAGTATGCTATATTACTCTCCCATAATTTTTATAATAGAAAGCTTATTTAAGAAGCAGTAAGAAAGCCGTCCCAAACAAAGCCTTAGTAAGCTTTAACCATATTTTATTAAAGTGCAGCTGCTGCAACTCCAAGGCTTGGAGAATTGCCAGCTAGCAGGAATACAGACAACAAAAGGGATTCCAGTCACCAAAAAAGTTTTTTTTTTTTTTTTGGGACTTTTAAGCCCGCCAACAAATCAAGGTGAGGTGCATGATAACATTTTCTTTTTTTTTTTTTTTTTTGCATGATAACATGTTTGATTTGCTAAAACTTCAGAAAATTGACAACAAGCTTCCACTCTGATCTATCAGCTACAGCTATAAAAACCTAAAATCATGACATCTGCACAAGTTGCCCATTGAAGCTTATGTCTATGGCATTACAGCAAGGGGGAGGGAAACTCATGTGATAAACAAACTAGAATATCACCCAAAAATCTTTTTACCTTTACGCGGCACCTTCATAGACTGAAAGCTTCGGGACATTCTTGATCAAAAAGAACAATGTGGCATTCTAATGAGAGAGAGAGAAAGAGAGGGAGGTTGAAGAGAGAGAGAGAGTTAGAGAGAAAGGCAGACAGTAAGAGAGAGAGATGATGGAGCGAGGGGGTGAATTAGAGAGAAAGAGAGAGATGCTAGCAACTTGTTATTGTAGGGTGAATCCATTAAGAAAGCTAAAGACCTTTTAATTAAAATCAACTAAACAATATTTAATAATTATTAGTAGAATTAATAATTAAATAATTAGTAGGGGGGGATTAAATATAAATTTTAATAAAAATATAATTTTTTAAAAATTATAAATAATTAATAGCAATAAAATAAGTTAAATTTTATTTAATGAGATAATTAAATATAATTGAATAATTCAAAAAAAATTAATAATAATTTAACATAAAGGAGATAATCAAGGCTTGTTTTCTCCAAAATTTCTACAAGCACTTCCTACTTCTTTCTGAATTCTTAAAACACATAGAAGAGAGAATGCATACTCTATTTAACCTTAACATGAGTGTAGCACTAATCTATAATAACTGTTAAATGATGTAGACCTTCTGAATTGTATTTTGCTATTTATAGTACAATCCCTCAGTAAAATAGAAAGTATGAAATTTAAATTTTCATTTTTCATAAGCACTGCCATTCTTCCACACGGGACATTAAAATAGAATGGAGAAGGGGTGGAGAAAAGGGGCCTCGAACTTTTACAGCAAATGGAAATAGGAGTGTTTAATCAATCAGGTAAACATAGTTCTTTGTGGCGATAAATCCATCAAAAACAATTCAAAAGGAAAGAATAAGAAGGTTAAGAATAATGATGACAATGAAATGCGCCACTAGATACAATCGGACAAGTCAAAATGCTTGCCTGCTTGAATCCCTATCGTTATGTCTAGTAGTCGTGGTTGCCATGAAAAGCTCTACGGTGCCACCAGACTGCCTATCTCTAGGGAAAATATTGAAAAATTCCAATAACAGCCATTTAAATACCCACAAGGCTGAATTCTAGAATCTCAGGTATCTTAACATACAGCCATTTAAGAAAATTTCATAGATAGTTGCGTGATTTATTCGGTGCCAAAATGTTGGCTATTAAAAGAAAGCATAACAGTAAGTCAAATGTAGGGCAGAAGATGATGATGCTAGGCGGGTGGATGAGTTTTTTGACATTATTTTTTAGAGAACACGGATATGAAAAAATGAGCAATATACGTGAAAATATTAGAAGTAGCT